AGTTTATGAGGAGTAGTCCGGACAAGCTTTTGAGTATCTGGCAACACACAGAAAAAAACACCTTTTTATCAAAGGACCATAACTCGGCCAAAAATCATTCAACCGGAAAACCCGTGCAATATGCGCAAGGACTTGAGCTACAGATCAATCCTGTAAAGTTTCATTGAAATTGCATTAGTGGTATAAGAGAAGTAGTCCGGACAAACTTTAAAAATAAAAATTATTAAAGGGCCATAACTCGTACAAAAATCATTGAACCGGAAAATGCTGACAATATGCGCAACTGGACTTGGTAGTGATCATTCCTGTAAGTTTGGATGAAATTGCACCAGTAGTTTATGAGGAGTAGTTCGGACAAGTTTTGTGACGGACGGACGGACAGACAGACGACGGAGAAGTGATCCCTATATGTCGCCACTACTCCGTAGAGGCGACACAAAAATAACATTGTTAACATAAATTCCAAGATAAAGAGGAATAATTCTGGAAATAATCACGCTAGAGATATGAACCATGTCACACAACGTGTGTAATGATACAATATAAAAATATTGGTGCTAGAGTTATGAGCCTTGTCACATAAGATGTGGTTGATGATAAGGTACATATATTTGAAGTTGATACCTTAACAAATGACAAAGTTAAAGTGAAAAATATTTTCCTGCACCAAAACTTTAATCTGAAATCTGGACGCGGACGCCGGGCGAGTAGGACAGCTCTCCACTAGAGTTAAAAATCATTCAACCGGAAAACTTGTGTAATATGCGCAAGTACTTGAGCTACCAATCAGTACTGTAAAGTTTCATTGAAATTGCATTAAATAGTGTTATAAGACAAGTTGTCAGGACAAACTTTAAAAGCTTTTTTTTCAAGGGCCATAATTTGGCCAACAATTGTTCCAGCTGAAAACCCCTGTAATATGCTCATGTTCTTACCCTAAAAATCAATCCTGTAAAAGTTCGATGAAATTGCATCAATTAGTGGTATAAGAGGATCAGTCCAAACAAACTGTAAAATTAACAAGAGGGCCCCAGGGCCCTGGATCGCTCACCTGAGAAATGTGTTAAATAGTCAATTGGAGCCCCTTTTTACACCATAAGAATTAGCAAAAATTTAAACATCGCCAGAAACACCAGGTTTACAGTACATATAAGAAAACTCAATGACACCCCCCCCCCATCCCCATGGATCCAATTTTGACCCTAGGGGTTTTATTTCAACAACATGGTAGATATACAATAGAACATGTTTCATGCCAAATATCTAAGCTCTTACTCTTTTGGATTTTCACAAGAAAAGATTTTTTAAGTTTCTACTATATGCATGTATATTAAAGGAAAATTAATGACACCTTGGGGCCGACCCTAGAACTTTTATTTGAAAAAACTTTGTAGACATCCAGAAGATGTTTCATGCCCAATATCTAAGCTCTAGCTCTTTTGTATGGTCATTTTAGTTTTTACCATAGACATATAAGGAAAATCAATGACCCCCTGGGGCCGGGTCAATTTTGACCCTAGGGGTTTTGGTAAACATCCACTGGAAGATGTTTCATGCCAAATATCTAAGCTCTAGCTCTTTTGTTTTTTTTTATAAGAAGATTTTTAAGATGGTATTTAATTCTTTGAACAACTTTGGCAAAGTTTCAACAAAATTGGCCAAATGGTTAAAGAGGAGTTGTTTAAAGAAATTGTTGACGCACGCACGAAAAAACAATGGACCATCACAAGAGAACACCTTGAGGACATTGTCCTCAGGTGAGCTAAAAATCATTTAAGGGCCATAACTCTTGACAAAAATCATTGAAATGAAAAATGTTGACCTAGACTCAACTAGACTTAGTACTGATCAATGATCATTCCTGTAAAGTTTGCATGAAGTTGCACCAGTAGTTTTTGAGGTGAGGACCGGACAAGTTTTGTGACAGACAAGATGGACAGAGAAGGATCCCTATAAAGTATATGTTGCCACTACTTTGTAGAGGCCACACAAAAATGTTCATAGCATGTTCAGTGTGGCTCCAACATCTTCAATAATTATTGTTGAATTTGGTAAGAAAAGGGTAAAAATACTGAAACAACTGTTATTTCAATTAACGTTTAATTTGTATAAAAAGTGTACTAATTTCGACTACAATAAATATATACAGCTTTAACAAATAATTTCTGACATATTTACAATTGATTGGTTCCAACTTCCTACTAAGAAATACATCTCTAAAACCTTCAACATAACAAGATTGCATTTGAGAAAAATGCTATGCCACCGCATTAATACAACACTAAATAGTAGTGTAGGAACAGATTTTTTTTGTTTCTATACAATTTTGACGATTGTCATAATGCATAGATCCCTGACCTATCTAATTCTTAATATTAGATTAGTGGTTAAATCTGTTGTTAACTCAATAAAAGATCAGAGTAGGAATATATCAATGCACTCGAGTCTAGTGAATTTGGTGGTGAAGGTCATATTTCACACAGACTTAATTTCATGACTACATCAAAGGACAACACAGTAAGACACTTTGTAAAAATCTAGGTCAGCTGAAATCAAAGTTCACTTTACATTTTAATATGTGCACATGGTTCAAATTTCATAGCTGTACATCAAAGGACAAGAAAGTAGGTCACATCATCAAAATCTAGGTCACCTGATATCAAAGTTCAATTTTACAACTAAAACTGTGCACATGGTCAAAATTCCATTGCTGTACATCAAAGGACAAGAAAGTAGGTCACTGTCCCCTTGGGCAAGGCAAAATTTTGGACCAAAGGATTTAATTCAAAACAATCTTGATACAGTCCACCAAAACAACATTTCAAGTCAAATATCTAAGTTGTAGCTTTCTCCCATTCAGAAAACATTTGTTTTATTTTCTGTTTTTACTATGTGTACATAATGAGAATCACTGCCCCCGGGCAGGGCCAATTTTGATACCAGGGGAAAAATTTGAACAACTTTGGTAGAGCACCTATAGATGATATTGTATACCAAATATCAAAGCTCTAAGCCTTGTACCTTCAGACAAGAAGACTTTTTATTTTTTTACTACATGTACATAGTGAAAATCAATGACCCCTGGGGGTGGGGCCAGGCCAATTTTGACCCCAGGGCTATAATCTTGCTAGAGGTTCACTACATTATGTTTCATGAAAAATATCTTATTTCTAGCCTTTGTAAATTTAGAGAAGATGATTTTTTTAAGTTTTTACTAAATACATATAAGGAAAACCTATGGCCCCCGGTGCGGGGCTAATTTTGACACTAGAGGCAAAATTTGAACAACTTTGGTAGAGTACCTATAGATGATATCATTTAACAAATATTAAAGCTCTAGGCCTTGTACCTTCAGACAATAAGATTTTTTTTATTTTTTACTATATGTATATATTGAAAATTAATGACCCCGGGGCGGGGGCAATTTTCACCCCAGGGCTATAATTTGAACAATCTTGCTAGAAGTTCACTTCACAATGTTTCATGCAAAATATCTAACCTCTAGCATTAATTTTGTCAATTGCTAGAGGAAATTTTTTTAAAGTTTTTACTATATACATATAAGGAAAACTAATGACCTGCGGGGCGGGGCCGATTTTGACCCCAGGGCTATAATTTGAACAATTTGGGTAGAGGTCTTCCAGACAATGCCTTATGCAAAATATCTAAGCTCTAGGCCTTTTTGGTCTTTACGAGAAGGATTTTAAGTTTTTACTATATGTAACTATAGTGAAAATCAATGACCCCCGGGACAGGGCCGATTTTGACCCCAGGGCTATAATTTGAACAATCTTGGTAGATTTCTACCAGACAATGCCTTATGCAAGAAATCTAAGCTCTAGGCCTTAAGGGTCTTTACAGGAAGGTATTTTATGTTTTTACTATATGTATATATAGTGAAAATCAATGACCCCCGGGGCGGGGCCAATTTTGACCCCAGGGCTATAATTTGAACAATCTTGGTAGAGGTCTACCAGACAATGCCTTATGCAAAATATCTAAGCTCTAGGCCTTTTGGATCTTTACAAGAAGATTTTTTAAATTTATTCTTATAATTCCTTTTGGTTGCCATGGCAACCAGATTTCTGCATGGAATGAAATTCTTTGAACAACTTTGGAAGCCCTTCACCCAAGGATCAATCCTGCCAAGTTTGGTTGAAATTGGACTAGCGGTTTTTCACAAGAAGATTTTTTAAGTTCACTATATAATCTATATAACACACACACACACAAACAAACAAACACACACACACACACACACGCACACACATACATACACACAGGTGAATCGCTATATGCCACCGCATCGCAGATGCTGCGGTGGCATAAAAAGAACCTATTGATACAATGTAGTTATAATGAATATGATTCGTATTTGTATAGTTATAATGAACACAAATGGTATTAAAGTATAACAAAGATGTTGTATTTAACATTAATTTATATTTGATTAAATATTTCATACAAAACAGCAGATTTTGGAAAAAAAAAACAAAAGGAAAAAAGAAAGAAGCAGATTTCATCTCTAAAAATTCTCCAAGTAACTATTTTTGATATATATTCCTATCCATTTAAAGAGCGAGGTTAAATAAAACTAATTTCATGCTTTTTGATAATTCTTGAGTATAAAAGCAATTTGCATAGTAAAAAAAAATACCAATTAAACAATAAAGTACATAGCTCATTTTATCAGAGTAGTATAAAATCAATCTTACATTTTAAACTTGAATATGCTCAAAAGTAAAACTTAAAGTGACTTATATTTCATAAAATATTAAATTTTGATTTTAAATCTTGATAAAAATCATTACATTTAATTACATTGAAACGGAAATTTTTATTAAACCTGTCAAGAAAACTTTTACCTGACAACTCAAGTATAAATATTAACATACTTTCTTCATAAGTTTGAAAAAGTATCAACATGTCAAGTGTAACAAATTATTTTTGTGCACAAGGATGGCAATTTTTCTAATGAATCTGAAGTAGAACACACTTCCTTAAAAACATCAACATTTTATAAAAAAATAATTTCATACACAAAAATTGTATATAGTGTTCATAAGTATTGTACATTTCAATTCAATTCAGTTTATTCAGCATTAGAACAATTCACATGATGCCGGCCATTAGATCATGGAAATATATAACCATACATAGGTATCATTTAACTATGTAGATTAAGTATCATCAATTACAACATAAAATTTTTCAATGACATGTCTCCTATTGCCTTATGTCATTCTGTAAATGGTTACTAAAAATGCAAGACTTTATTTCAATTTAAAAAAAAACTTTATAACTTCCTGGCTTGAAATGGTAAAATATCTAAAACACAGAAAATAAAATCTTCATTACCAAGAGTCTAAATGTAACTTTGTACAAGTTTTCTTAAAAAACGTTAAATAAACATTTACATTAAATTGAATAAAACATAAAATTTAAGAAATGAACATGCTTATTAATGCACTGCAATTTAGGGTTGATAGAAAGTTTTACTTCAAATTAACTGCATTTCAAGGCATTATTTGTGACTAAAATATCAAATTTTCAAAATGTGGAGCTACATCAGCTATAATTAAATAAAATAATATTATGCACAATAAATAAAATATTTGTTGAAGGTTTAATTAAAAAGAAGTTAATTCCCAGAGTAAAATGATTATTATGTATGCAATACCAATATTTCTTTGAATATATATTCAGAATTTGATGTAAATGTCAATTTAAACATACATCTTAATATTATGATAATTGCACTGAACTATTTCGTTTCACATTGCATGTCCAAATGCCAGGTGCTAATAAATACATGTAAAACTAACAAATCAGCATGACTTTTTCCATTCTCTACTGTTAAACAAATTACTGTTAATTCACCAAGGGTAACAAAGGGGATTGGGATCTTCAAAAAGACGATTAACCTTGAATAAATACTTATTTTTTGTTACAAAATAACTTTGTTTAGTTACTATAACAGTGACCACAATGACTTTGATATAAAAAAGTGCTAATGGGGTAAATGCAAGTGCAATAAAAAGGATTAAGAAAAAAACAGCTAAAAAATAAAAGAAAAGAACAAAAGATAACACAGTCAATTTTACAAAATTAAAAGGATAACAGTTTGACATGTCAAATAAAAATCGATGATGACTTTTATGCACATTGGGTACAAAAAAAATTATGGCTTGTTTTTAAATGGTTGACAGAAATATTTCTAAAGTAAATGTGTGACTAGTAACACTGTAAGCACCAATATTTAACTATAGAAATTCAATGTTTCAGGTGTTTAAATAAGCACTTTCACTGTCCAGTTCAGCAAATAGGGAATAATGTATATAAAATCAGACAATATTCATTCTTTAAATTGTAAATCCAGTTCAGTTAAACATTTTAACTTCAATACTCCAACTTCTCAAGCACATTTCATATATAAACTTTCAAAACTGCGAAAAAAAATTCCAAGAACACCTTTTCATCATTATGCAGTTATAGCACATTTTAATATTTAAAGCACTGTTTGAACCCTGTACAATAGTTGATGGAATGTCAGTTTGAACACCTCGGGTTTGTCTTCCCTGTTGCCAAGCGTGGGGATTTCATCAGCAGACCAAGTCCTGGGTTCAACTCCCGGCCAATGTTTCTTGGGCAGTATCTGAAAAAACAAGATACAAAACATACCTTCAGTAAATTTAAGAGTTGTATATATCTATATAAAAGACACATCATCTGAACTGTTCTGTTAACAGAAGTATTTCAAGATACATTGAAATATTGATTGTGTATGTACATATTAACCTAATACATGAAAATATCTTTACAAGTCTTACAACAGGCAGAAATAACTTAGGACATTACACAATTTCAGCAGGAAAAAATTATTTTATATTTCTTAGAAAAAGAAACGCGATTAATTTCAAAACACTTGAACAATCAATTAACCTGAAAAATATAAGATTTTGTTCATTAATATATAATTCTACAAAGTTTACATTTGAAATCACAGGCGCTAGTCACATAATCAAATATTTTACATAATCGGTCTATCTATGTATATAAAGATATCTTTATATACATATATAGACCGATTATGTAAAATATTTGATTATGTGACTAGCGCCTGTGTTTGAAATCAGACACATTAATGTCATTATATTATCTAACATATTCACATGGATATTTTTCATAATACATGTAGTTCATGATTGCCATTAGTTATTATTAGCATAAATCTATACTAATTTACTAGTTACCTTATTGTATGTGCCTCGTCCCCGCCCCTTACACCACAAATGGGGCACGTGTATTTACGTAAAATCGGGCAAGTAGTCCGACCCTCAGCATCTTTCAAAACGTGACTCTGGTATACTTGGGGCTGCTCGTTGTTGTTCTTGCAGAAAACACAGACAGTCTTGCTTGCCTTCTTCTTGGATCTCCTGCGTTTCTGGTTCATGTATTCAACCGCGACCGGGTTGTAACTAGGTTCTGGGTTGATCGGTCGTGTCGCAGGCGTTGTGGTACGTTCACGAAGCTTCGACTGAAAGAGGTCCACTTCGTCTAAGTCCTGCTCGATGCCATTTTTACTGAACTCTTCAAAAGCATCTGACCGGATTGTTTCTAAGTAACAGTCAGATTCCTGGTTGAAGTTTATGTTTACAGATAATGGTCCATCTTCATCGTCCATTTTATTACCATCACAGGGCGATTCCACAAGACTGTCAAGATGTTTTATAAGATCCATATTAAACATGTTACTGAGGCACAACACATCATTTCTAAGAGGGTGATAATCCATTTTGTTTCCAGTCACTTTGTTAAAATTACTACACATTTGCTTACGTTCTGTGTTTTGAAATGTAGCGGTACATGCTATATACTTATAAAATGCTGTGACCAATTAGCGACGACTAATCTGATGTTGATTGGTCAATTCACACGGTTGATTGACAGTTATAGCATGGAAATGAAGCGTTGTAAACTCCGCCCATTAGGATCCCCGAAAACATCAAAAGAAGTGGGTCAACTTTAATGTTTTACCGACAGAAAACTCGACGGTACCACCTGCAGTAATGATTTGAGGGTCAATGGAGGGGTTTAATAAACCTTCGCCGTTACTAGAATAACGAATTAAATGTTTGTGATTATGTATGGGTAAGAGTTCGTATTAAGACGACCGTAGGGAGTCTTATCGAACTCTTACCCATATAACTGCAAATCGGCTCTTACAACTTGATATCAGATAAAAATATAGAAAGTGTCACCTCTTTAATTAAGCATAACATTATTTTTCTCAGCAGTCACGTACAAACAAGGATGGGGTCCAATTACTTAATCTGGCATGTAAAAAATGAGTTTTCAACAATATCTAGGATTGTTAATGCAATTCATTCCTGTCATATGAAACAAAATAATGTTTTGCTTACTTTTTCTAGAAAATATAAAACAGTCAGCAATTAATAAATGACATTTTTCAAAGAGTTTAATGATCAACATTATTTTTTGTCCAATCACATTGTAGTATTTTTCAAATTTCTGCTCAGTCTAACTTTGGTTAATGTGTACTAACTAAATAAAATTCACTTAATCTATCGTCTAACCAGTCTAACAAATTTCAATAATGCATTATATTAGGGAGGAGTTAGAGGTATGGTTTACACTCTGAATTGTAAAATATAAAGGTTAGCAAAACAATGCCAACGTAAAAATAATTAGGCTTTCTAAATGTGAGGATACAATCAATTAATTTATTACATAGATAATACATGTGGGGCACGCAAAGACAAATGATTACAATCATTGATATTAAGAATACAATGATTACATTTTTTGGCTGGAAAACTCATTGTAAATGGACCCCCTCCACCTGTAAACCTAGATTGACACACAGAAAAACTGTTTTTCAAATGAGCAAATCAATAGGGATTTTAAATGTTAGTGAATAACTTAGAGCTAATAACGAATTTGTATAAATTATTAATCTAATGTATTTTCTCACATTTTCCATTTATTTATAAAGGATGTACACATTTCTTTAACTCCATTGTTTTTACTTAACTGCATCATTTTCCTCGCTGTTTTTCTTCCAGATATTCTATAGAGACATGATAGTCTTACTGTAGATAAAGGTATAAATTCTGTGACATTTCAGTAAAAAATGTGCCTGATTATTTGTTGATACTTAGCTTATCTAAATGTGATATGTTAGAAACTTGACAAGGTGTAGACATCTTGTAGAGCGAAAGGGCGGAGCTATCGGTGATTTAGTGAAATGCCTTGTTTTTGGTTGAAAAAATAATGTTGATCATTAAATAGGTTAATGTTTGATAATATGCATTAACAAAAATAATTGGTCGCCTGCCTGCGGCAGGCTTGACCAATTATTTTTGTTAATACATATTATTAAACACTAACCTATACTTAAAGGATATCAAAATGTTACTGTGTTCACATTTGTCTCTGCGAGCTGAGCTCCACGTGCATAATTAATCTATAATAAATTCTGTCAGCAAGTTGTCCGCTGGAAAAACACTAGTTTGTTAACTTGTTGATGAATGATAGATTTCGGCACTGAAAACTGGCGCCAACGTGACGCGGTCCAACTTTACGCTTTATATAGGCACATATAGTTAAAATAACATAATAGAATTATAGCTGTCTTGTATTAATCATCCGCATGCACCATCCAACATTTTTTTTCCACGATATTTTTTTGAGAGCTAAACGCTCGGGATTGTTTCTTTTTTCTCAGTTATATGTAATATATAGTAATATTTTCTTTCAAAATAGGCATTATCAAACCATTGTGTTTATTATTTCTTATCACTTCTCGAATCTGCACGCGTCAATACTTGAGAATATAGAATATAAAAAATTAAAAAATGTGCATGTTGTGCAAAATATACCCCCCCCCCCCTGTGCAAAATATACCCCCCCCGTTACCACGGTTTTAATTACAACCGTGCCAGTTACAGAGTATTCCCCTACTCTGTGTTCCGGAGGTTACACGGTTTTATCTGAAGATTAAAAAAAAATAATTAGGTAAAGTAACAACAACAACAAACAAAAGCAACAACAACAAAAAAACACCAAACACATTAAAGAATCATTGAATATACTTCTGGATTTGACTTTATTGACTTTATAAAGCAGCATGTGGGAGCCGGATGAGAAGTTGAGGTTTTCCAGTGGCGATTGTAATAAACGAGTGTAACATACGGAATTAACTTTTTATAAGAATCAGATTGCTATAAAACTATAAAACCATTTTTCTTTAAAAAAATATTGAACACGTTTTGTGTTACGTTTGGAAATTGTCGCTTTTTGGGTGAGAATAAAACAACAAAAAACAACAACAACGAAAAACAAAACATATGATAAAGCGAGTTCAATAGACTTATCATTTCAAGTCTCGAACACCAATGATCCAAAATAAATACATTTGCATACATATGTAGAGTAAGACAGTTTTACATTTTCTGATCGAAATTACCAAATGTTCTAGGAAAGAAAGAAAACATATATAGTTGATATTGAAGTCAAAAATCAAAGCATCATGACCATGCAGTGTTGGTGAGAGTGTTCCCGTTTCATACATGATAGGTGTTCCCGCGGAGTCTGCAGCTCTACACATTTGACACCAATGTTTTATTAGGTTTACAGGACCGCATTCTTGAAACATTCAACAGCATGTGTTGAAAAAATAATTCCCGCACTTAATAGACTATTATGATACTATAACTATGTCACCAGTGCGGTGCGGACATCAGATAGGGCGATTAAACCCATTTGTTTATTTGTAATGAGGATACACTACTGATAAGCCAAAGCCTGCTGAGAGAGCACAGAGTTCACGTGGGAATATAACAAGCTTTTAATACACTATTTATTGATGTATTGATTATTTATGTCATTTATGGATATTCACCCTGATACAGTTTTTGCTATCTGATTTACAGTACATATAAAATCTTTTACAATCAATTAATTTCTCGAAAATATATAAATTTAAATAATTACTTTCGGAAACCTAGAATAATTGATTAAATACATGTGCACGTGCCAACACATTCGATGATTCATTGCTATATATTTTGTTGTTTATTTGGAGATTTTTTAAAATAAATACAATAATAATTTCTGAAAGTGACATTATGCCCATCCACGGGTATAAATGAGTGAACAGGTGAATGTCAAAATAAGTTCTCATTTTGCAATAATTCCTTTTAATATAAAAAATTATTTCACATTAACAATAAACAACGCATGAATTCAAACGGAATTTTGTAAATATCCACGAAACGTTCACTTCATAAAAAGAGTTGGGCAGTCTTTTTATATCTTAGGCAGAACAAAACTTTATACGAAACATTTCCAAATATGAACTGTTGGTCAATCACCATTTTAACAGTCAATCTTTTGAACTTCAGCTCAACTTGACTATGAAAATATGAGCATAATGTCACTTTAATGCGTTTCCGATATGCGCACATATATACATGTACATTGTATATTTCAAATCATTCCTCAGTATTAATCTCAATTTAATCAATCAGGCTGTGAATTGTCACCTCGGAATTGTAATAAAACAATAATTAACAATTCAATTTAATTTAAATATCTTTATTCACCCAGGTATTAATACAGAACAGAACAGAACATATATTTTATTTTGAATTAAGCATATACAGCTCATCTTCATATACAATTAATAAAATACATAAGGGGTTTACAAAATAATATTTTTCAATTAAACAACAATTAACAAGTACCAATTAATTTATGAAATGACACTTTCTTTACACGGTCAATTAAAGCGCACGTGAAGCTATAGATTAATTTCATGGTCATTAATAACACCGACTCGGCACAAATTTAAACCACATTTTTGACAGTTTGTTAAAAGAACAATCGCAGTTTTTTATTTGATCTCTATTTTATAGAAATGAAAAAACAAAAACAAAACAAATCAAAGCACAGAAGGCGCTGAATTTGTTTGGGTCTCAGAATGTGAAAGGTACAGGTTGTGAGATTATATGTATATTGCCACCAATGCTTTCCAGCGTTTTAATTGTAGTAAATTGGCTATAAGACTAATTGCAACACTGATATTCAATCCAACGTTTACTGTATTTGACTTAAACCATTTGAAAAAAAAATGAGTTGCCTTTACTGGGATTTGAACTCCAGACCTCTCGCTTCCTAAGCGAGCTGGAAAACCCTTCAGCCACGGTGAATTTATATGTGAAGGGCCTGAAGAAAACCATATTATTCTAAATTAGGGCTTGTAACGACTTTAACTGTTGTTTAACACAGATGTAAATAATCCTGGAGCTTACTATAAGCTTGTATATGTATAAAGAATCAAAGAGCTGCAAGTTCTGTGGTATTTTCTGATCTTTGCAATCTAAATCGTACTGTATATCTGTATGTATTATAATTCATTTTGCAAGGCTCCAGAGTTTGATACATACGGAATTCTGCATAACTAGATTTGCATCAAAAAATCATTTATGTTCACTTTTTACGACAGCCACACTTTATCCTTGCATATCATGGCTACTTCCTTAACAAAGACACTTAAAAAGGAATTAAAAAAAAAGTTTCCTCGACTGGGATTTGAACTCCAGACCTCTCACTCACTAAGCGAGCGCGTTACCCCTGCACCACGGAGAAGTTATACAACAAAATCTGATTAACATCAAGTCATTCTAAATTTAGAACTTCCATTGCATTTCGGTTTGTAATCCTTATTAATTTCGAGGTATTTTGTTCAGGATAAACCTGTTGTTTAAAGTTGAAGTAAAAAAATTTAGCGAAAATCTTTTCGCCCAAACAGTCCGACATGTAGAATCTATAAATTCCACTACTTGGTTTGTGTAGTATTCGGTAATCGACATTGCTAAAAATAGTATTTTCATTGATAAAATCATATTCATCCGCGTAATTTGTGATTGTGCATTTATTGTCAATTCTATAAGCCAACGCTATTTTTGTATTTTCTGATCGTAAGATCAGTAAATACATAGCTAACATCCACGGTCTAACACAAAATTTCCTAACAGTCCTAA